CTCATCCCCATTTTTCCCATTCTGTTCCCTCACATCTAGCTGGTGACTCCCTCTTCTTTTTCCCAGCATCCTCTCTGCCTGGAAATCCTGCCTAGCCATTGCCACTCAGCTTTTTATTAAACTAATCAGAATGACATGTTTTTATAGTGTATAAAAGGATTATTCCACAACAGGTCTTCTACAGTGAGAGAAAATGACTTTCTACAGTTTTCTGTGTTTGTAATGACACCTTTGGGAAAGGAATTCAGTCTTCATTACCACCATTTTCTTCACCATCATTATTTTCCTTGGCACTGTTGCTGTTATCGTCTATCTATCTATCTATCTATCTATCTATCTATCTATCTATCTTTGATTGATCTACCTATCATCTATATCAATCTATCTATCATCAAATTTTTGTTGTTCTTGATTTTCTTTTGTGATGGAGCAGTGATCTCAGCCTTACTCTTATTCTCACAGACACACAAAGATATTCAGGAGCCCATGGGGATCATGGTTCCAGACAGTGCGATGCATGCAGTCCCACCCTGAGTCTGGATCCACACTTAAATTGCTCTGTTTATACAGAGGTGCTCCCAGGCCTAATGCCAGCAACCTTCAACAGAAGTGTCAGTCTCCTTTAGATGAGGTACTCAGGTAGTTTATAATGGATTTTATTGCCACAGCTAACCAGGGGCATTAGTCAGGTACACAGTAACCATGACTCAGAGGAATCAATCTGAGATTCGTGCAGGTATTCAGAACAGTTGGCAGAAAAGGCTCAGGGCTGTTTGAATTTCCACAAACAACAAGGGGACATGGCTCTTCACCTTTCCCACTGGTTCTGGCACCATGCTAACATAAAACAGCTCCCTCTGTGTTTGCTCATGTAGACGACCTCTTTCCAACATAAGCAGAGCTCTTAACTTGTTTTTCCAGTGTGCAGACCCAAAGCCTTGTCATGCTAGGCCCATGCGCTGCCTCTGAGCTATATCCCTGGTTAAAGTGTGTCCAAATGTGCTTGTCTGTTTTCCACTCCTTCCTATCTTTACCCTAAGATTTTTCTTGTGGAAAGAGTAAATGATGAACAGTTTCAAAAACCCTAGCAGTCTTTGGGGATTGGAACATTCGATTGTAAACCTGTTCTGATTATTTGTGTGTGTGTGTGTGTGTGTGTGTGTGTGTGTGTGTGTGTGTGTGTGTGTTGTATGCACATGTGCATGCTGGTGTGTACACACAGGTTTATCTGAACATGTGGTCAACACCAGGTGTCCTCTTCAATCACTCCCCACCTTATGTTTTGAGACAGGGTCTCAAACCTGGAGTTCATTAGGCCCAGAGCTCATCAATTGTCTAGGATGCCTGGCCAACAAGCTTGAGAGACCAGTATGTCTGAGTGCCTGCTGCCCTTGCGGCTACATCCAACTTTTAGGTCAGTGCTGGGGAATCTGAATTCAGGTCCTCATGTGCAACGAGCATCTTACCAACTGAGCCTTTTCCCCAGCCCCCTACAGCATTATATTTCTATGGTTCAGCTATTACAGCACCCACAGTTGCTGGCAGACTGGAGGTATTTTGAAGCCTGTCACTGTTTTTTTTTTTTTGTTTTTTTTTTTTTGGCAAAGTCTACGGCCTTTCAAACTCCACTGTCATTTGCAGAAGCTATCCCTGTTTGCAGAGCTTCACATTTATAATTTCGTCAAAATTTTGAGCTTACATTTTAAAATGAGGATTGTTTAAAATATGCAGCCGTTTGCAGAGCCTGTAGGTACTTGCAAAGACCACAGCTGTCTGCAGAGCTCTTTGAGGTTTGCGGATGCTATTTTTGCTTGTAGAAGCTGTTGAAATTGGTTGCTGTGCCTGTTACATGATGGGCACTGGGTTCCAATGTGGTTTGTTTCCCAAAATTTCATGTATTAGAAGCTCAGTTGTCAGCATGGTGATAAGACAGGTGATGGGACCTTTGAGAGGTAGGGCCTAGTGGGAGGTAGGTAGGTCATTTTAGGGCTGTCCTTGGGCTATAGCTTCATTTCTGTTGCTGTGATAAAATGCCCTGACATAAATCAGATTAGGGAAGAAATTGTTTAGTTTACAGTTCCAGGTGACAAGCCATTACTGTGGGAATGTCATGGCAGGAACTTAAAATAATACATAAGATTACATCAAGAGCAGAAAGAGAATATACCTGTGGATTCTTGATTGTGTCATCCCTTCCTTTCTCTTAGCTGGATTTCTTTCCTCTTATAATGTTCAGGAGCCCCTGCCTAGGGAATGGTGCTACCCACCATGGGCTGGGTCCTCTCATGTCAAGGCAATCTTCCCTCAGACACACCCACAAGCCATTCTGATCTACATAATTTCTCAGAAAGACCATCTTCTCAGGTGATTGATTATGTCAAGTTGATGGTTAAAACTGCCACAGTTTTCAAGTGTTTAATACTGTCTTACACAGGAGTTAGTGCTCATGAGGAAGGGTTTCTACAGAAAAACTAGCCCACCCCAACCCCCACTCTCTAGCTTCCTGCCTCAACACATGCTATCTCCACCCAACACAGACACACACACACACACACACACAAGCTCTGCCATGTTGGGGACCCAGTACCAATGCTATGTGGTCTTGGACTTTCTTTGAGCCTCCAAAAGAGTGAGCTATGCACAACTGTTTACAAACAACTGCGCTTTGTGGGGATCTTTCTCCCTGAGCTGACATTGGGTGTGAATTATCTCAGTAACGTATATGTCTGAGTTGTACCAAAAGATCTTCAGAAGACATAGAAGTAAAAAGAAAGGCTGTGGCTAAGAAAAGACAGGGTGGGGAGGCGGGGG